AACATCACCAAAGGTAGCAAAGGCATCTCTCAGTGACTGATCATCAGTTCCCCAGGAAAGACCTACAAAATATATGGATGAATAAGCAAATATATACACGTTGCACAAAATTACCAGTTGGTAACTACAACCCAGTAAGAACTTTAAAAGACCAGTCGAAACATACCACCAACGAAAAGCTTCGTCGACATGCAACGGACGGCATCAAGCATTGACGGCATTGGTGATGTTGCACTTACTGCATTTCCAGAAATGCTCTGCCTCAAAAGACCACCGAGTTTGTTGTAGAAAGCCATTTATGCAGATAAATTGACAAATCTACACACACAAAATTTAAGTCATGGCATCAAATCCAGCTATTGGAGTATCAAAAAATGAAAACCCAGGGAGACACAATCACTTTAAGAATGTCAGATAAGATATCAGTAAATCATGCGTTCAGACTGTATGAAATTATCACGCCAGTTGATTTAAAGAGCATAAGTCATCAAAATTACAAAAAGTAGAACCATGAACAATTATTCAGTAATTCGAACAAAGTCAGAATTATAGGCACCAATTGTGGAAACTTGATTTTTTCTAGTTCCTGATATGCAGCAACAATGAATCCTGAGAAAACCAAACCACAGGTTGTGTGATGTTCTATTCCCCACATATCTGGACAGATGTAGCTTACTAGCTACGATCAACACAGAACATTGATATATATGTGAAAATCATTAAACTTAAACAAATAATATATATTAAACCATAATTTTAAATGTAAAAAAAGTTCAGTCTCAAGTTTTTCAAGAGCTTAAACCATCAAGTTTAAATTAAGGATCCAACCTCTGCTAACATTAATTCAAAGAAGTCACTGAAGTCGAAGCAGATGTGTGATCTTGCCTAATGTATTAATTCAAAGAATACACAAAATTCAAAGCAGATGTTGATTTGTACATTACAAATTTTATTTCAGTAATGTGACCTTTTTCAAAGGAGATTAGTAAAAAGTAACACGAGAGATTTGTAAACAACACGGGGGATCTTGTTCGTATTGTAAGTGGGCATAAGAGATCATTTCCTCAAAATTTCAAAGAAAATGCTTTTATTCTAATTTACAAAAAAAAAATTAAGCTACAGCATCCAAGGACTTTTGGCAAAAATATGAAAGAAATCACGGCAAATAAACACTAATATCCGGGGCGGAACTAGCCTTGAGGTTGCGGATTCGACCAAACCAGGTAGCTTTGGTACAACTCTATATTTGTTTTAAGAAATCCATTGAATATATTATAAATTATTAATTTAGAACCCAATAGCTTTAACGGACTAGAACATAAGCTTCAAATCCTGTCTCCACCTCTAACTAATATTGACCTAGCATACAAACAATAAGCAAAGAAGCTACACCAATCATAACAAAAACATAACATGTAGACTACAACTTCAAACAAAAGTTATCAAATTAGGATCAGAACAAAGGGTTAAAGATAAAACATCCATAATTATTAAAAGTAAGAGCCTCACAAAAACTCTTTCACAGGACAACACAACTAGAAATGCTAGATCAAAAAACTAATTGTAACAAAAAATTGAATAAAGAAACGGGAAAAGAAGGATTGTATCCAGTTTAAAATATATATACCTGATGAAAGAGAGTTTTTGAGGGTTTAAGGAGAGAGAAACAAATGAGGAGCGGCTAGGGTTTAAGCCACTTCTCAATGCAGATACAGAAAAGGATATAAAGACGGTGATCTTTGAGAAAAATTATCTTTGGCATTTTTATAGCCTCGTGACTGCTTCGAGGTGTTGTACGTTTTGCGACGTTGGGTATGCTAAGGGTAGCCACGGTATTAATGTACAAAATATGCGGTTCTCAATACTTTTAGATTTGGACGAACCTAGTCATTTTAGTTTAGACAATATATTTGTATTAAATTTTTTATAAAATATGTAAAAATATATAATTGTGAATCCAATCACAAAGACGAGCTAAGAATTTATGACGAATTAAGAACTCATAAACTGTAAATACTAGCTCTGCTTTTGCATCCATTAAGCATTTTTTTTATGACGTGTTCGAGCCATTTTGATTATTTCACTATCGATTTACTACTTCAACTTAACATATATACCAGGTAATTTTGTCCATTAAAATTTGGATATATGAGAATAAATTACCTAATATGTTATTTACGAATTTGAATTAGAAATCTCATGGTTTTACTTATCTCCTCCAACTTAATTTATTAAACACTAATCTCACTCTCGATGCATAGACCTCCATTAAGTTACTATTCTCTGTGTCAACACTCTTGAAGTCTATCCATGGTAAACGAAAAGTCAAATAATATAATGATATTGGGATGACGATTTGTCTAAACCTCTCAAATAACTTTTTCTAACCAAGAGATATTCGGTATATATTGATCGATTAATATGAATTTGTACGTTCGACTCATTTAAGGGGACAATACTTCCTATCATGATTTTTTCCCGTATATATGACTTGAATATGTGATATCTAATCTCGATGCATAGACCTCCACTTTGATTATTTCACTATCGATTTACTACTTCAACTTAGCATATATACCGGGTAATTTTGTCCATTAAAATTTGGATATATGAGAATAAATTACCTAATATGTTATTTACGAATTTGAATTAGAAATCTCATGGTCTTTTCTGATCTCATCCAACATAATTTATTGAACACTAATCTCACTCTCGATGCATAGACCTCCATTAAGTTACTATTCTCTCTGTCTCGTATGTCAACACTCTTGAAGTTTACCCATGGTAAACGAAAAGTCAAATAATATAATGATATTGGGATGACGATTTGTCTAAACCTCTCAAATAACTTTTTCTAATCAAGGGATATTCGGTATATATTGATCGATTAATATGAATTTATACGTTCGACTCATTTAAGGGGACAATACTTCCTATCATGATTTTTTTCCGTATATATGACTTGAATATGTGATATCTAATCTCGATGCATAGACCTCCACTTTGATTATTTCACTATCGATTTACTACTTCAACTTAGCATATATACCAGGTAATTTTGTCCATTAAAATTTGGATATATGAGAATAAATTACCTAATATGTTATTTACGAATTTGAATTAGAAATCTCATGGTCTTTTCTGATCTCCTCCAACATAATTTATTGAATACTAATCTCACTCTCGATGCATAGACCTCCACTTTGATTATTTCACTATCGATTTACTACTTCAACTTAGCATATATACCAGGTAATTTTGTCCATTAAAATTTGGATATATGAGAATAAATTACCTAATATGTTATTTACGAATTTGAATTAGAAATCTCATGGTCTTTTCTGATCTCCTCCAACATAATTTATTGAATACTAATCTCACTCTCGATGCATAGACCTCCATTAAGTTACTATTCTCTCTGTCTCGTATGTCAACACTCTTGAAGTTTACCCATGGTAAACGAAAAGTCAAATACTATAATGATAGTGGGATAACGATTTGTCTAAACCTTTTAAATAACTTTTTATAATCAAGGGATATTCAGTATATATTGACCGCTTAATATGAATTTGTACGTTCGACTCATTTAAGGGGATAATACTTCCTATCATGAATTTTTTACGTACACATGACTTGAATATGTGATATCTAATCAAGGACGGAAGATTCTCATCCAACTCCATATCCTAATGATCACTCAAAAAACTTTTTGGAAAACCATAACATTGCCCAATGTTCAACTAATTTATTTGATTCTTACATCCTATGTTAATGCTAAAGATACAGACGTAAGCAACATAATATACATATAGGATTTGACATTTCAACATGTTTTTCATAAGTTTAGAAATTGCTTATCGAATTGACTAACTTCAACACAATCAAAGACATATGTGTTATTTTCCGACGTTTAATTTATTTAAATTTCAAAAAATTAGTTGTTTTGAAAATTTATAATCTACTAAGGGGAAAATATCAAATTTGCCCTTTTGGACTTAGCAAAATGGTCCAACTTTTTGCCCCCATCTAGTAGTTGGTGTAAGATCTACCGTTGCCATTACTAATATTGGCTAGATTTGCTCTTATTGCCTAAGGGTAAAAAGATTTTTTGTACACATAAAAAAGTCAAATTTGTTTTTGACCTATGGAAAGTAGTCTAGATTGTATGATTTTGTAAAAACTATTTGCTTGATGAAGTAAAATATAGAAGCTAGTGATGGTAACAATGGTCGTTGATAATGGTTGTGAGGCGATATTCATGGTTAGTGAAGAAGGCTAGCGATTGTGCTGAGATAGTTGGCGATGATCGCGCAGTAGTGACAATAAGTGATAGTTGTGCAATAACGGTTGATGGTAATAACTGGCGTTGAGGTGATTCGTGGTAGTAACCGAAGATATAGGTGATTAGAAATCAAATTTAGCAATGATAGTTGTACAATGAAGATTTGATAAAAGTAATTGATGGCAATCGCTAGTGGTATTGGTTGTGATGGTTATACAACGGTGGCTGGCATAGAAGTATTAGTGATGGTGGTTAATAATGATAACTGTGCAATAAAATAACTGACGACGGTTGTAATTAATCGATGGTGATATAGTTTGGATATGGTGGTTGTACGGTGATAACTAGTGTCGCGATGATTGGCGGTAGTGCTTGGTGGCGATAATTATACAGTGATAGTATAAAGTAGTAAAAAAAGTGTCACGATAACATGAACCTTTAGGAGAAAATCATAATCTTACCTCTATTTAACAAATTCGTTATTCGGAGCGAAGTCTTTTAATAACGATATAGTTATTTTTGTGTGACCTATAGATCACGGGTTCAAGTCGTAAAAATAACCATTAATACTTGCATCATGACAAACGTTATATCACATACTACATTGCTTAGGCAAATTTAATGGAGAGAGAATTCATCCAACGGTCATAGAAGTAAGAGTGAGAAATCCCTTTCTCTCTCATCCTCCTTTATACAAAAACATATTTTTTCCTCTCAATATATGTGAGGCTTTACGCCCTCACCCTTTTCTCTCTTTCTTTTTCCCTTGCGTGTATTTTCCGAACCCCATAAAAACCAAACAGCGCAGAACGAAAAACCAAAAAACCCCATTTTTCTTCTCACAAACTCTTACTTAAATCACAAAAATAAACACAAAAATAAACACAAAAAGTTGATTCTCCAGTTGCAAAATCGATTATTAACCATTTTTATGGTTATTTATATTTGAGATCTTGTCCCTCCTACAATGTTCTTCACTTTGTAGCGGGCAAGGTAAATATATATTTATATATACACTCACTAAAAGAAAAAAAAAGAAGAAGATTTTTGAATCTGATTTTATTGATTCTGATTTCAGCTTGAAGTTACCTATTTTTGGGTACTTTGGGGATTTTTATCGGCATTTTTGGTATTTCGGTTTTTCTCTGGATTCGCCTTTTTGATAAAACGAACAAAAAAAGTGTGGAATTTTCCACTTTGATTCCTTCGAATTTCAACGCACTTTTGTTTTGGCTTGGTACTCTTATTGGTTACTGAGACATTGTGGAATTTTCTAGGGTTTTCAAATCGGATCGCCTACTCTAAGTGATTGAGCTCAATTGCTGGGATATATTCATCTAATTAGGGTTTTGAAGAGTTCAATAGTAGCAATTGATCCACTGATCGCCCATTAATGCGAGCAAATTGGCTGGGGATTTGAGCAATGGAAGAGGACTGTAGATATTAATAGAGTTATTAGCAGTTTTGCCTTGACAGAGTTGTGAAATACTGTGTTTTTGACTCTTGTTTGTGAAATTTGAAGTGAAGAGCGAGTTTAATTTAGTGGATTTTGCAAGTCTAAATTAGTGGATTTTGGGTTGATTGAGTGAGTGAGGTATTAAATGGAAGCAAACTGAAGTTTGAAAGGAATGTGGGGACATGGTGCATGGACAAGAGTATAATTTCTGGTTCGTTCCGTTACTGGAACAACACTGTTGTGAGAAATTAATTGGAGTATTATTATTATCTCGGAGTAAAATTTTGTGCAATGTCGCGCTGCTTTCCGTTTCCACCACGGGGATATGAAAAGAAGCTTAGACCAGAGGAGGGTGACTTATTGAAAGAGGTCTGTTCAACTTATATTATTATCACTTTTTGTGGATGTGTTCTAATAATCCGAAGCAGTGCCAAATGGCATGTTCTGATGTTCTAATAATGCTGACCAGTAACATATTATTTGGAGATTATTGGCCGTGGATTGTGATGCAAGGGTTGTTCCAAAAGATGTTTTCTTTCATATGGTACTTAATGTCAATTAATTGATTGGAAATTTAAAAGTATGGATGCTTCTGAGCCGACTAGTGTGATTATCTTTTATATTGGGAGACAACATTTCTAAAAGCAATTGTCTTAATCTATCAGAAGAAGACATTCTAAAAGCACTGCCGAAAAAATAGTTTATATTTGTGTAAAAGGAAAAATAAAGGGATCTGCTTTCCGTTTTGATCTGATTAGTATAAGATGTGATGCGTAAGTAGATTGCTTTAGAGATCTTTAGTTATCTAAGGCGAAATCTCTAGAACATGATGACAAGTAACATTTGTTTTTAATTGAATCCAATTGAATGGTATGTTAATTTTCTTCCTTTGGATGCACTATACTCCATCCTTTTGGTGGAAGTTGCTGGTTGCTTGTCATGCTTTCCATCCTTTATTTGGAGTTGATGACTCCTTCCCATCAATACTTCAGCTGGATTACGTATATTTGTTATTAGCAAAGGGTATTTGGCCATGGCTGTGGTTTCAGTTGAATTATTTTGAGTTACAGAATCTTAGTTTGGGGCATTGTAAGTTAATTATCATCTGAATCTATTTAGAGTAGTGTATTTGTAGGATTATATCCATAGAAGTTCACCTTTTGAGAAATTGCTAGATTTGTGGGAGAAGATAAATGTGGAGACAGGGAAAATTTGGTTGTTTTACGATAGTAGGACTATATTTACTTGGGAAAAGGTCCAAACTTGCCCTCTTAGTTTGGTTGTTTTAGCTTTACTTTTCTAATGTTGGCTAAACTTGAAGAGCATATATTTAATCTTACTTCCCTTTATTTTAAAACCCTTGCTTTCTAGAGTGCTTCTCCATAGTTCAAGCTTTTGGTTGACACCTTCTCATTTGTTAATTAACACAATAGCGTATGCAAATATCATACACCATGGGACCTTATCCTCTATATTGTTAGCTCATCTAATAACTAGGGTAAGCAAGTGTGTGTTTTTCGTAGTTTTGTTAATTAATACCGTCTGCAAATATCATACACCTTTGACTCTATCATAAAGAAAAATATTGTTCGTTAGCTCATGCATAACTTGGATAAACAAGTATGGCCTGAATGTTGATTCTTGGTGTAAACCCACGATTATGGGGAACTCCTTTGTATCTCATACAATTGTTCTCACACTAGTGACTACTTCTTCATACATATCTACACGACATTTATATATTTAGTGTCAATTCCTTTCTTTTCAACCACCCACCAAAAAAACTTTTCTTGGCACTCTATTACGTGCTTTTTCATGGTCAAGGAACACCGAACACCACTTATAGATCCTTTTTCCTCTTCTTACAAATTTTTATCAATCTTCTTAGCAACAATATAGCCTACTTTTGTAAATGTACGAGATATAAATCCGAACTGATTCACTTCACTTTTATAGTGTCACCAAGTGTACGTGCAATTACTTTTCCCCCAAAGTTTTATTGTGTGGCTCACGAACTCAAGCTTCTTTGCCCTCATCCGTTCATGATGCTAGAACTCTTTCTCTATCTTGCACCACATCGGGAGCTGATGTGGCGGGAGTAACTACTTTACCCAAATTCATATGAACCATTACTCATATTCCCTCATCTTGGCAGCGATGTGATGGAACCACTTGCCCATTTTTCATCACACCTAAGTCCGATGTAACACTGTCAAATTGAGTACGTCCCAACGTATTCTATTTTGTGAGTTCATCATAAATTGACTAGTTTTAAGATGGTTGTCAACCACTTGGAGCCCTCATCCTTTAATCGGGCTTCAAACTAGTAATGTGAGCAAGCTCAAACAGGCAGAGTTATTTGAGGTGATTGTGTCCTCTGAAAATGTGAAGTTGACTTGTTACGAGTCGGCTACATTATGCTATTGCATTTGGTAATACTTGTGCCCATATTATTCTGTAATGCATGTGAACATATTTGTTTTATTGTTGATATTTTTTCATTTATTTGTTAGCATTGTATATGCTATACCAAGATGAGGATGACCTTTGGTCATGATGTCCTTATGGGAATTTCCATTCATATAGGTTCTCTAGTTCAGATTGGCATAGGAAAGTGACTAATGTGAGATATGCCAACTTGTTGATGGATTGAACTGTCTTGCTTTTTGTGTTGATTGTTGAGTCATGAAATTGCTTGCTTGTCGTCCCTCCTTTTCAAAATAAAATAAAATGTAAGATATGCCAACTTGTTGATGGATTGAACTGTCTGGCTTTTTGTGTTGATTCTTCAGTCGTGAAATTGCTTGCTTGTCGTCCCTCTTTTGTCTAAAGTAAGGTGGTTGATTTCTTGTTTTTGAGGAATCTGTTTAGAAGCTGGTTTCGCATGTCACACTTTTTATCAGGTGTATGAATGTTCTTCTGTTCAGCCTCCGTTTGGTGAAATCATTATGCTGGAATAAGTTCATTAGTGATTCCCGTGATCTGAAGTAGACGATGAGGGCTCTTTTTGTCATGGATATTTTCTGTTGCTGTTATAATTTTGTAGCTGAACCCAATATGGAACATCATTCATTATAAAGGCATTTCACATGACACGAGCTGGAGACTGTAGAAGTTAATTATGGACTTCTTCTATGACGATAACTCTCCGAAAGGAGACTGATTAGGAACTATTTGATTTTTAAATGTTTCCTCCATGATGCCTAAACTCATATTCAAGAAGCAAAACCTGTATATTGCTTTTGGATCCTGCTAATTAAGCTGGAGCCGTGGTGAGATGTGATTGCCTTTTAATAGTGTGTTTTCCTTATGTCCTGTTCTGCACTTCGTTATAGCGTAACATATTGGGGCACCAGGTTTAGTAAAAGTGATTGTATGTATTTGTTCAATGTTTTGCTTTTCTTACTAATAAACAATGTTTACCATACAAATTTAATACTATGTGATTACTCAGTGTTTTGTTTACTTGATTGTATGTATTTGTTCAATGTTTTGCTTTTCTTACTAATAAACAATGTTTACCATACAAATTTAATACTATGTGATTACTCAGTGTTTTGTTTACTTGATTGTATGTATTTGTTCAATGTTTTGCTTTTCTTACTAATAAACAATGTTTACCATACAAATTTAATACTATGTGATTACTCAGTGTTTTGTTTACTTGATTGTATGTATTTGTTCAATGTTTTGCTTTTCTTACTAATAAACAATGTTTACCATACAAATTTAATACTATGTGACTACTCAGTGTTTTGTTTGCTATGATGATCATTTAAGTTCTTAACTGGTGGTTGATTTTTTTTTTTCTCTTCAACTATTGGAAACTTTTGTTCTTGAGCATTCACCAGATAGATCTAGGATTTCCACCTGAACTTGAGTTCCTCATTTGGTTTTCCCAATTTTGGCACTATATCAGCTATTTATAATATTGTGCTAGATTTGACATGTTTTGGATTTTCCTCCTTTTGCATAAGGATCTTTTAACTAGTTGTACTTGACCTACTTGTCAAACCAAAAAAAAATTGTAATCGACCTGTTTGGTATAAACTAACAGTTCCTTTTCATATGTGTAGGAGAAAAGGAAGGAGAAAAAACATAAAAAGGAAAAGAAAGACAAGGAAAAGAGAGAAGGTAAAGAAAAAAGGGATAAAGACAAAAGTGATGGGAAACACAGAGAAAAGAAAGAGAAAAAGGATAAACACAGGGACAAGAAGGAAAAGCACAAGGACAAAAAGAAGGACAAGGACAGGGATAAAGAGAAAAGCAGCATCTCTGAGGAGGCTAGAGTTGCCGCTCTACCTGGGCCTTCTACTGGAGGGAAACTTCACGAGAGAGATGAACATAAAGATAGACACATTAGCTCAGATAAAGGGAGAGATGAACATCAGCTCAGAGATAGGGATAGAAACATCAGCTCAGATAAAGGGAGAGATGAACATCAGCTCAGAGATAGGGATAGAAACATCAGCTCAGAGAAAAGCAAGCACCCCGATCAGTTTCACATCCAGCTTGGCCTCTCTGCTGTTGAGACAGAGGACTCAAAATTTGTGCAAGAGTTGGACAGGAGGATCAGAGATGCAGAGAAGGGTGCTCAAAGTCAGTTGGCGGAGAGATTTCCAGTTGAGTGCAAAAGGGATGAAGAGACAGGCAGGGTGCGCATCAAGGATTCTGGAAATTTGGCTCAACACAAGGAAAAGAACAAAGAGAAAGGATTTGTTAACAATAAGATGGATGGGCAAGCTTTCAGGGGTGAACTTAAAATTGGAGCTAATGCAATACCTCCCAGCCTTTCTACAATGGCAAAAAGCAAATTTGAAGGAATCCCCAGGCCATTGGAAGAAAATGTTGAGAAGTCAAGAGAGGAAAAACAAAAACCTAAAGAAAGACGTGATGACAAACCAAGAGAGAAAAACAAGGATAAAGATAGGGAAAAGAAAAGTCATGGAAAGCAGAAAGACAAGGAAAAAGAGAAGAAAAAGGAAGAGAAGGCAAAGGGCAAAAGTGAACACAAGAAAAGCCAGGAGGATACATCAAGAGATATCAATAAGAATGACTTTGTTGGTCTTACTAACAATAAACTTCCACTTATATCCAAGGAAAGCATTGCTGGTACAGTCAACGTGGGAATTAACAGAAAGAGGAAGGATGTTGAAACTAATGGTTTCCTGCATGGTGAGTTTAAAAAAACTACTAACAGCCTGCTATTTTCTCTTGTATTGACTTTACATCCTACCCTGTGGATGCGTCAAAGCTATGTGAGTTATGTATCTGAAATAGATTGCCTTGATAGAGTTCTTTTGATTTTGGGTGCAGTAGTCTGTTAGGGAATTTGTAGCCACCATATTTGATGTATTTTTAATGCAAATTGCTTGAACTAAAACAAGCGTGTTCAGCTCTATTTAACTTTTTGGTTTGGCTGATTAGTGTTGCTTTTCTGTTCTGCTGTACAGAGAGTGAACTCAGGCCTGCTAAATTGCTACGGCCGTCATCCTCTCAGCAGCCAACACAGAATGGAAAGACATTTGACACACACCCAAAAGCAGACCTGTTTTCCTCCAGTAAACAGGAAGTTGCTACTGATGTTAAAGTGGAAAACAAGAAGCACAAGGTGAATGGTGGTATAGAAGGCCTGCCATTATTCAGTGCTGAGGCAAAGGCTTCATCCATCATTCCTGGTGCTGATCAAATAGCCGAAGCATCTAAAAGATCTCCTCATCCCGATTCCAAGTTTTTAAGCCAGATACTCGCAGTTCCTAAGGTGGACGATTGGTCTGGGTTTGATGACCAGGAATGGTTGTTGGGAAGCAAAAGAACTCCGGCTAAGAAAGCTGAGACGTGTCCAGATGAAGTCAATAAGGAACATTGGGTATGGTCTGAAGCTTTGCAAATAGAGGCTGCTGATGTTTGTGCTCTGCCATATGTTATACCTTATTGAATGCTATTAACATGATCTGACAAGATGAGTTTCCAAGGACGAAGCTCTGCCAGCTGTGCAGGAGCAAGCATCTGGCTTCTAGAGGCCCGCACTAGGTTTTGATTGGATTCTTTCTCACCCCTCTAGCCCTGGTCATCTGGCTTCTAGAGGCCCGCACTAGGTTTTGATTGGATTCTTTCTCACCCCTCTAGCCCTGGTGGTCTTGCTGGTGGCAGTTTGTTCTGACATCGATTCAAAAATATTGATCTCGGCTTCTTCTATACCTATGAATTCCATCGGACCCAAAAAATGATACATTGGAAGAATCTGTCGGGTCTTTACATTATCAATGGGTTGATTGTTTTGCCCCTGTAACTTCCCAAAGGAAAAAAGATCTTCTAGAATTATCAATCACCACGACTGTACGTTGCAGTAGCTTAGACGGAGGGGCAACTTATTGCCATGTTTGATAACCCCACAGATGGAACGGCGGGATAGTGTGTCTAGGAAGATGCATAAGCTTATGCAAGTTTATTCTATTTGCTTAAAAGCTTGGATGCTCTTTCTAATTGAGTGTAAAAGAACTAGCTTTTGTGGTCTTCACAACTCCACAATTTTGATTTGTAACATAGTATTACTATAGTTGTAAGCTAGATGGGATAAAAAGCACAAACAAAAGAAAAGAGGTAGTTGCATTCATTTGATTCACTGAGATGCAAGGTCTTCTTGTTTATATTCGATTTCCACTATCTAAAAAAATACCATTTAACATCAGATTTCAAGTTAATTAGATGAAAATTATGGGATGTATATTAGAGGTAGGCCTTCTCTTGTTTAGGTTTTCTTTTAGTATTTAAATTTAGTTCTTGAAATATATTTTTTTCTTAGTTTTATATGTTTTGTGTACAAATGTTGTATTTAGAGCCCAGTAGTCCTGCTCAAACCTTTGTTGCTCGAGTTATATGGCTGACTGCGAGATAGTTGCCCCATGCGAGAATAAAAAGGCAACGCTTCATTTTTTTATTACTCACCCTGTTTCAAAAATATTGGCACTATAGCCATACTAATGTTATGACATATTTCAGAGCACAAGTTTTAAAAGTTTTACAATAATAAATGTTACTTAGAAGTGTTCATTATTTTATTAAAGTTTGTGTAAAGTTAAACTAAGTCAATCTTTTTGAAACGAGAAGTACAAAAGAAGAAATTGCTAACAATCACTATCATATGGTCCGCACTTACTGAAATACAAAGGCCCCTCCTCAAAACTAGAGAGTGGACCACAAACTTGAAGTTTCTTATTCTTCTATGCAGTTTTCAGAATAAGAAAGGTCCAAAAGAGTGGGCTGAAAATTATAACAAAGATATGTCCAAGATTTTAAAGATAACTCTCAGTCCTTAGGCTAGGCAACAAGTGTACAACTTTCCATCGATCCATATGGAGAAATATCACAGGACAAGTTGCAGAAAGTAACATATTTTGGTTCTCTTTAGGGAACAAGTCAACAAACCAATAACTCAAAAGCAAATTGTGGGTGTCTCTTTCTTGAGTTATTAAATAAATAGGAAGATATGAGAAACCAAAATAGCCCAAGCGCCACATTCTGTAATGTGGTCTTTATTTACAGAATAATATGCCTTACAGCTGAACACTAGATTGAGTCATACAAGATGATAATGAAAATGATCAAGAATTGACATCTTCCTTTACTCCCAATTCATCATCTCCAAGAAATACTATCAAAACGTGGAGCCAAAATTTCGAGTTTATGAGTTTTGGATTCTAAAAAATACATTTTTTTGGATTCTTGATAATTTTATTTTATATGCTTTGCTTCCAATTCTGCTGAACCCGTAAGTAAAACTATAGCTCCACCCTAGGACCTTTCACAGCATCATGTGGTTTCACCCAATTCTGAGAGAATTGGTAGACAGTTTTTCTTTTCTGGCAAATGATACAAACATATAGCCAACAAGAAGGAAAGCCGCCAAACTTGCTTAACATAAATAAAATACTGCCTTTTCTGAAGCAGGAGTATATTACTGAAGATGAAATTCTTGATTCACATTACTATGTACAAAATCCACTGCCTATTTAGGTGATTCATATATGGTTAGCACTAAAACGAGAGGAAAAAGGAGAAAAAGATCCCATATATACAAAATAATAGGAAAATGTATTGATTATTATCGATTAAGATGAAGCTTCATTCCTTTGCCGGCGCATTCGTGCTCCCCAAGACATACTGTTGCCAGAGTCCTTGTGCATGCTTCTTCTCTTTAGCTCTGATAACTGAGACTGCCAACGATTTTTCCACTCGCCTTTCTCCTCCATTGACTAAACGCACAAGAAAGAACCAAATTAGCAGAAGGATAACAAGAACCCAAGAACAAAACATATGTCATTCGATCATACTAGCAAACAGAGGTCAGCTACATGAATCTGAAAGAAACAGAGTGATTCTAAATAAAAGATTAGCCCACTACTCCCGGCAGTAGTTAAATTAATGTTCCCGAGATGCACATGAAAAGGACAAGTTTCAATGAGATAAATCGGGACTAAGAGTAGTTTAGAAATAATGGCAGAAGTATGATACATAAAGGCCAAACTATGTCATCACTAATGCAACGGAATCTGAGCAAAGAGCACTGCATTTTAAAGTTTCTTGAAGCCACGGAAGTTTACTAGGGAAGTAGTCTCAGGTTTGAGGGGAAGACAAAAACAGAGGAAAGGAGTAAAAAGAATGACAGATTGGAAAACCCCATTTGGTACTTCAAGTGAAACTAGTTATCCAAGAATGACAGATTGGAAAACCACATTTGGTACTTCAAGTGAAACTAGTTATCCAAGAATGACAGATTGGAAAACCACATTTGGTACTTCAAGTGAAACTAGTTATCCAAGAATGACAAATTGGAAAACCACATTTGGTACTTCAAGTGAAACTAGTTATCCAAGAATGACAAATTGGAAAACCACATTTGGTACTTCAAGTGAAACTAGTTATCCAAGAATGACAAATTGGAAAACCACATTTGGTACTTCAAGTGAAACTAGTTATCCAAGAATGACAAATTGGAAAACCACATTTGGTACTTCAAGTGAAACTAGTTATCCAAGAATGACAAATTGGAAAACCACATTTGGTACTTCAAGTGAAACTAGTTATCCAAGAATGACAAATTGGAAAACCACATTTGGTACTTCAAGTGAAACTAGTTATCCAAGAATGACAAATTGGAAAACCACATTTGGTACTTCAAGTGAAACTAGTTATCCAAGAATGACAAATTGGAAAGCCCTGTTTAGACGATTTTTTTTTTATTCCACTAATTGAGGCATAACAATAATCTATGAAACATTAGGATATCTCGTACTCAGTCAATGACATCTATTATGACAACATTCATGTAGTCCAAAATAGAGGAAGGCAGTGGGAACGCCATCGATTACAAACGTCAACAGTGACAGAAAATAACACCATCTAAAATCAAAGTATACATATGAGAAATACCAATAACGAAACCATCTCTTCCTAATTACGAGCAGTTCTATCATACTCAACAAGACGCATGTAATTTTCTGCAATTACTAAATTCTTTGGATTGACCGAGAACATTTCTTTTCTGTTGTATTGTTCACCAGATCGCGCCGAGGCGGAACTAGGATTTTGAGTTTATGAGTTATGTTTCTAGAAAAGGCAACTTACTGGGTTCTAGATAAATTATTTATACATATTAAGTGAACTTTTTTAGACAAATATAAGATCTGGATCAAAACTACAAGTTTCTACCGAACCCGTAAATCCACCCCCCCCCCCCCCCCACCGCATATGGGGCAGACCCATAACTTGATCCCAACCATGATCATTCTAGGACTTACTGTGCCTCAGGCATCATGATGTGACAGTTCCACAGTAAGTGTTACAATATTCTGGACTTATCGTTACACTTTTTTTTCTCAAGAAAATCTCAAGATTTAGCCGAATATACTAAGATTCTTGTCAAACCAGCAAATTCTTATCTTTAGCATGTCAGCCTTTAAGATGCGGATAATTATGTCATTATGGATTTAACTTATGCGACTAGTAGCATAAAGAACATTTACAATTCCTATGTAATTTAACCTATTATAACATGTAACTTGTAAGAAGTTAACTGTAAATGCCTTTTAACTTTTAAGTGCCATGATTGTGAAAAAAAAAAAACCCATATAACATCAGTGCATAAGAAAAATTCATACAAGCAACAAGTCATCCCCGGATGAATCTTCATATTTGCCTAGGGATGGCAAACGGGGCAGGGTAGGGTAAATTTCATAAATAGCTACTTTTCAGTACCTATAATTAAAAAAATATTCATTGCCCTGAAGTTTCAAATTATACCAGTGAAACTCCACGACAGTGGTTATTTTTTTTAAAGACAAGCCGAAAAGTGGCCTGTGAGCTTCTACTCAGAGGCCGGATCCAGGGATTTGAATTTTATGTATTCCTACTGCTATTCAAGTTAATTACTCCCTTCCGTCCACAATAAGCGACTAATTTATCTTTTTATTTTGGTTCAAAATAAATGTCCATTTATATAATCAAGAAAAAATTAAATTTGTTTTTCCAACTACATATCCCTAAAAAGTGTCTACAATTTAGTATTTCCTTAATGGGTGTGCCAAGTCAAATTCATCACTTATTGTGGACCGGAGGAAGTACTATACAATAATAAACAAACCAATTGACTGGGTTCCAAGCTAAATATTCTCATAAATTTTAGTGAATTTCATAATACAAATTACATAGTTTGAACAAAAGTTACTGAACTACTAACCTCATCGCTTTGGTAACGCCTACGAGCAGAGAACGCAAAGTGAAGGCCTTTAGCCATATCTTTATCATACATATCCCTCATTCTAGGATCCGATAAAGTCTCATAAGCTTCCTGAACCCGAATAAATCTCTGTGTATACTCCTCGACCCGATCCGGAGGCGAAACATCCGGGTGGTACTTTCTCGCTAATTGCTTGTACGCCTGCTTAATTTCCAATAAAGTCCCCGTTTCTGGTATACCAAGCAGATCGTAAAAGCTCTTATTATCAAGCTCAACATACGAAACAACGTCGTTAAGCTTCGATTTTGCTTTCAAGGAACCAAATTTGGTTCTCAAAACTTGGGAATTTGAGGGGCAATTTGGGAAATATATACGGGGGTGTAGGGAGGAGGGGGAGATAGAGGGGGGTGGTGGTGAGGAAATAGGGATTAAGCCATAGGAGTTGCAGCACATTTCTCTCTTTCGAAAGGAAATTGAAGTTTTTGGATATTATGAAATTTCTGAGTGTTTTTGGATATATATATATATATATATATATATATATATATATAAGGATCTGGATATACAACGGAGAAAAGAAGGGTAATTGTGTCATTTTAAAAAGGAGAAAAAGAAGAAGTCAGAAATGGATTTTTTCCAAATTTAAGTTGGTGATGGAGAACCTTCCTGGAACAATTTTTAATCCTTCCGTTTCATTTTTTTTTTCAACGTCCATTAAGAAAATAATAAATATAAAATATAATAAATTAGGTTATTACTATCAAAAGAATTACTACTACTATTATTTATTTATATTAAGGGTATAGGTTCGCAAAGAGTTGACTGACCCGGGATCGATTCCCATCACTAGCAGGCTCTTAGTCAGAGCTCGTCACACCAGATTTGCTTAGTGCGATTTCAATCTCCTGTGTGATTGACGAGTTATGATACAGTAAGCAAATTACCTAGTGCGC